TCACCTCCCTCACCCTGCCACTTCACCTTGTCACCCCCCCTCACCCTGCCACTTCACCCTGTCACCCCTCTCTCACACTACCACCCCACCTGTCACCCCATCTCACCCTGCCACCCCACGTGTCACCCCCATCTCACCCTTCCACCCCACCTGTCACCCCCTCTCACCCCGTCACCCTGCCACCCCACCTGTCACCCCCTTTCATGCTGTCACCCTACCACCCCACCTCTCTCCCCATCTCACCCTGCCACCCCACTTGTCACCCCCATCTCACCCTGCCACCTCACCCTGTCACCCCATCTCATCCTGTCACCCCTCTCTCACACTGCCACCCCACCTGTCACCCCTGCCACCCCACCTCTCATCCTGTCATCCCCCTTCCAGCCCACCTCTCACCCTGCCACCTTGCCCTGTCATTCCCCTCTCACTCTGTCACCCCCCTGCCACCCCACCTGTCACACCCTGTAACCTCCCTCTCACCCTGTCACCCCACCTCTCATTCTGTCATCCCCCTTCCACCCCACCTGTCATCCCTCACTCCCTCTCACTCTGTCACCCCCTCACTCTGCCAACCCCTCACCCTGTCACCCCCTCTCACCCTGCCACCCCACCTGTCACCCCCTCACCCTTCCTTCTCTTCTCACCCAGTCACCCCCCTCACCCCAAATCTCACCCTGCCACCCCACCTGTCACCCCACCTCTCATCCTGTCACCTTGCCCTGTCATTCCCCTCTCACTCTGTCACCTCACCCTGTCACCCTGTCACCCCACCTCTCATTCTGTCATCCCCCTTCCACCCCACCTGCCATCCCTCACTCCCTCTCACTCTGTCACCCCCTCTCAGCCTGACACCCCACCTGTCACCCCCTCAGCCTGCCACCCCTTCTCACCCATTCACCCCACATCTCACCCTGCCACCCCACCTCTCACACTGTCACCCCCTCACCCTGTCTCCCCACCTCTTACTGTCACCCACCCTGTGACTCCCACACTGTCACCCCCCTTACTCTCACCTCACCCTGTCACTCCCCACACACTGTCACCCCACGTCACACTGTCACCCCACCTGTCACCCCCTCACCCTGCCTCCCCTCTCACCCCACATTTGACCCTGTCACTCACCCTGCCACCCCACCTGTCACCCCCCTCTCATGCTGCCACCCCATCTGTCACTCCCTGTTACCCTGCTACCTCACCTGTCACCCACTCACTCTATCACCCCACCTCTTACTGTGTCACCCACCCTTTGACCCCCCACCCTGTCACTCCCCACACACCATCACCCCACCTCACACTGTCACCCCCTAATACTGTCTCACCCTCTCACCTCCCCCCTCACACTAGGTCTCCCCCATCTGTCTCTTCCCTCTTACTCTGTCACACCCCTTACACGAATGTCACCCCCTCTTACTCTGTCACCCCCTCTTACTCTGTCACACCCCTTACACTAATGTAACCCTCTCACACTGTCACCCCTTCTTACTCTGTCACCCCCCACACTATGCCACCTCCCTACACTATGTCACCCCCTCACACTATGTCACCCCCACACACTCTGTCACCTCTCTCCGCACACACTGTCACCCCCCTCCATACACACTATCTCTCCCTCTAAACACACGGGCACCACTCTCCGCACTCTGGCACCCTCCTGCTCTTTTTACAATCACCCTGCTACAGTTACTCCTTTACTCACCCTGTCACCCCCTGAAGGCAATCATTCTACACACTGTCATAAAACATAGCTTCGCCATGAACTTAATGCCAAAGGCCACAGGCAGTAACACAAACATACACATGCTCAGAGAAACATACATACATATACAAAGATACTCACTGCCAGACACACACCCTCAGGCACACACAGGTAGACAATGCAACGACGTATACAGAACTAGTTCTCTATATCCAGTACTGCAAGCCCGCCCTTCAATATATCTACAGCTTCTTATACACACACAAGTCAACTGCTGTTTTTTTCCAATAATGGTGTTAGTGGGGGCCTCATGTATGAGTTTCGCCTAAGGCCTCGCCAAGTCTAGAGCCGCCACTGTCCATGTGCCAATTTATAACAGAGGTCTTTAACCCCTTAAGTACATATGACATGTGTGACATGTCATGATTCCCTTTTATTCCAGAAGTTTGGCCCTTAAGGGGTTAAAGAAACACTATAGTCACCAGAAAACTACAGCTTATTGAATTTGTTCTGGTGAGTAGAATCATTACTTGTAGGCATTCAGAGAAAATGCAGTGTTTACATTACAGCCTAGGGATAACTCCATTGACCACTCATCAGATGGCTACTAGTTGTGCTTCCTGGGGCAGTGCCATTCAATGTCTCCACCCTCTGCATGTAGACACTGAACTTTCCTCATAACAGTGGCGTACATAGAGGGGCCCTGCGTTCCCCTGCGACCGGGGCAAACCACCGGGGCCGCTGTTAAGGGATCCATTGGGTGGGTGTAAGGAAACCAAGTATATTTAAACCTCATTCGGTAGTTTCCTCCCGAACCGCCAGAGCATCAGTGATTATAGCTCTCCATTCGGTAGATAAAGTAGACGAACCATATAGTAATCCCAATAGCTTCATAAGATAATTCCCTTAGTGAAACACAGGAATCCCCAAACATCAGCCGAAGTCAAGAAGAAGGGTACAACTGAACTGAGCTTTAATGATTGCATACAGCTTTTATGCAAGTCCCCATGCAAGGGGTCATACCCCAGGGAGGGACAAAGATTAACCAATCGGGCACAGTAAAAACATAACACACACCCACAATTCCCTCCCCTAGCCCTGGAGATAATCAAGTCCGATAAAGTAATAACTTGATTATCTTCAGGCAGAAAAATCAATTTTTTCCCCAATATCTGGAACACCCCTTTATACTTGAGGTACCCCCACAAATAATATGTCCCCTGATAGCCCCGATCTGGGTGACCAACATATTCAAATTTCATCCAGATCGCTTCAGGGGTTCTCAAAAACTGTGGAAGTCGTCTGTGACCAGCTCACCGTGGGCTGGCTGCCTAAAACAGTTCCATAAGTTTGGTGGGTTTTGCCGGTCACTTTAGTAAAAGGGAAAAAGCGAATAAAGTACCGAATGGATCCCCCTGGCTCTCAGCAGCGATTGTTCCCCTCTATCGAATGCACCAAAGTACCGAATAGCGCTCTACTAGCTATTCGGTAATTAGAGTTCCATCGTTCATCTGTTTGAGACCGGTGTTCGGGAAGTCGAGTGTCTGATTTTAGTTCCAGACACTCGACAACCAAGTCCTGCTGCCTTTGTTCGGCTGAAAAAAGATGGCCGCGGTTTTCTCAGCCACGTGGCGTTCGGTAGTACGAACGCTGGCCGCACAGATAGAGGGGTTGATTGACGATTCTTTTGAAGCTTAATGAGCCAGGTGGTGGTCTTTGTTCGGTAGTTCAATCTACCAAATGAATAAAGGTAAAATGAGATGAATAACTAGTGAATAGCCAAGCAACGAATCTGAATGGCTGCATGTCGCCACAGCTCTGCACTAAACGGCTAATATTAGACAAATTCCAAGACCCCAAAGACCACCTCGGGCACCTAAAATGGATCCCCAGACAGACACTAACACAATGGATCGAAAGGCCAAGAAACCAAAGACCGAAAAACCGAGGATGAGCATGAACATTGGAGATCTTTGGCGACATGCTAACATCGCACAGTTACCTGTATTGCCTAATCTCAGGCCGCTTCCTCCCTCATCAGACTCGGCCGCGGTCATCAAGGAACTGCTGGCAGGCCTCCAGCGCACGATACAGGCTGATATGGCCCAGATACACCAAGACCTGCGTGGCATGACGGGCCGACTAGGAACACTGGAGCAAGATACCCGCTAAAATAGGCAGCACACAACGCTCCTCCAACAGGTGGTGGGCGAGCTACAGCAACAACAAGCCAATACTGAAATAAGATTTGCAGGAGGATCAAAAACGAAGCCTATATATCAAGATAAGGGTAGTGCCCGAAGAAATACCTGACACAAAACTATCACATCTGGTGAGCAGACTCCTGATTGCACTCCTGCCACCCAAACAGGTGAGGGCAGTGGAAACGGAGGGGGTATTCAGCTTACCGAAGCCAGTCAAAGCACCATCCTCGACGCCTGCTGCTGATCTGGTTTCAAAGGAGCAGAGACAGGCAGGCGGTCATGAACACAGTGCGGCACCATTCTCCATACTCGTTCGAGACCATGACACTCTCATTTTACACGGACCTGTCTGGGAGCACACTGGCATGGTGTCGCACCCTCCAGCCCTTCACAGCTGCAGTCCGATTGCACAACATCACCTACAGATGGAGATCACCCCGCACACTACAAGTTCATCATGACGACACCATTTACCCCATTCAAGGCGCCAAGGGGCTTCTACACACCCTGGGTCTCCCATGCTCTCTCTGACCACCACCGGGCCGACAGTACCCAAGGCCCCCGACCCGAACCTGGAACCCTGCCACAACAATCCCGTTCGTCCCACAGAAGCCCGCGACGGGCACATATGCAGAAGTTACCTCCTCAAGCAACCTAGAGGGCCTACAGTGACAGGACTGCCTCTTCCTAAACAAAATTGCTGTTTTTATTTGCAGACAACCAAAGTTATTTGTTAGTTTATTATGTTCTTAGTCTTCCACTGTCTTTCAAGCATTTTATAGCTGCTAGCCAAGTTTAGTTGCATACCCAGCAACATACAAGCAAACACCTTATGAGGCATGTAGAGGTATACAAACCCGGCCACACACATTGAGTCCCCGCTTATTCTAAGCCTAGGCCTACACCTTACTCCAGGCAACACTGCAGCACCTCCCCCCTCTTGCTGAAGGGTAATTCCCTGGATCAGCATTGCCACCCTATAAACCCTCTAACTATACCCAGCGTGTGTACGCATACTAATGACTGACTCCCCATGGAGTTGGCAGACCACACACTGGGCTTCCGCCCGACCGTTCCTGCTTAAACTACCCAACTACAACTGTCACGGTCACCTGCAAACCGGCAGCAAGCCTACCAAACACACAACAGTTAACGCCACCAAAACAGCCAACCGGCACTAGCGAGGGCACATTCAGCCTCCTAGGTAATCCTAAAGAAGGCACCTCTCCATAGGTGCCCTTGGCCCACCTACTGGAGCTATGGCACCGCACAAATGCCTTAAATTTCCCCATATTGTACAGAAAAAGTTTAGTGTTATTTCGTT